AACCATTAAAACTATCCAAAAGTAGACTAAGTGGCCTAGGTAGTGTGTTCTCTCTCCCTGGAGGTCCTCAAGCAGAGGCCAAAGGATCATTCGTTTGATATGTCAAAGAGGGGATTCCTCTCTGACATAGGTTGGACGAGGTGAGCTCCAAGTTCCCTTCCAACACTGGGCTTCTGTGACTGATTCTCTGTGAAGCTGGGAGGGATGGATAGCCAACCTAATAGATTAGAGTCTCAGAATCCAAAAAGTTCTCAGCAGGATTATGAAATCATAGGCAGAATGAAAGTCCTACCTTTCAGCTCCAAAAAAGTCATTAAACAAATTCGGAATGGAAAAGTGGATGTTGTTATTTAAAACTAAACCAAAGCAATCTAAACCAGACCTCAGGGTTCAATGGGCTACAAGCGCAGCCCTGAGGTGTAGCGACCCGGAAAGCTCATGTGATCTAAGGCCACATTAATTAGAGGGATAGTGTCCAGAACAAGGGAGAGGTAGTAACCCTTGTATTTCACCCCATCAGGTGGGTTGTGTTCTATTTCCAACAGTCATGTTTTAAGGAGGAACAATGGTAATTTAGCAAGTTATGTCCACAGGAGAATGCCCAGGCTGGAGAGGGAGCTTAAAATCATGTCCTATGAGAAAACAGTTAAAAGAAGTGGATATTGTTTAACCTGGGGATGGGAATATTCAGAGGGATATTTAGAGGAGATATGTTAAACTCATAGCCAGCATGTGGCTGGCAAAACTGTCCACTGGGCCCAGTGATTAAAATGAAATTGGAGAAATTTTTAATAAAAATAAATTAAAAATATAGTACAATATAGATAATGTTAATTTGTGGTTTTCTAAGTCAATGTGTGGTCTGGTTTCTGTTTGCATTTGACCCCTCCATTCTAGAATATTTGAAACACTGTCATAAGGTAGAAGAATTAGACTTGTTCTGTTTGATCCCGGAGGATAGAAGTCCTTCAGCAGGTAGAAAAAAATAGGAAAGAATGTGTTGTTGTGCAGTCATTTCAGCATTGTCCGACTCTTTGTGACCCCTTCTGGGATTTTCTTGGCAAAGATACTGGAGTAGTTTGCCATTTCCTTTTCCAGTTCATTTTACAGATGAGGAAACTGAGTCAAATAGGGTTAAGTGGCCTAGCACTACACAGCTAGTAATTGATGAGTCTTCCTGACTTCAGGCCTGGTACTCTATTCTCTGTGTCACCTAGCTATGTATTTTGGCTTAATATAAGGAAATACCCTAATAGTAACTGACCTGATACAGCTCAATATGCAATTATTAAGCATCCACTCTATGTGAGATACCATGCATATAATGACAGAAACAAAACAGTATCTACCCTCAAACAGCTTATATTCTGCTGGAAGAATACAACTTGTATACAAATAAATATATTATAAGGAAAGTTGAAGCAAGAGACAGTATTAACTCCTGTGGATGGATTACATCAGGGAACAGCAAACTTATAGCCTATAGGCCAGATCCAGCCAGCCACTTGTTTTTGTTTGGGCCTCATCTAAGAATAGTTCTTATTTTTTAAAAATAAATATACAAATAAGTAAATATACAAAAATAGGCAGTGGGCAGAGGGTCAAATTTGGCCCACAGGTGACCCCCTAGGCTACACGAGGTGTTAAACCAGACATTACTTAAGAGAAGAGACATTCATTCAGTTCCAGTAGGTGGTGAGGAGAACAAATGCTCTAAGTACTTCATTATTTTTTTTTTTTTGATAGTTCAAAGACCTGGTTTCACTGGGGTGGGAATTTTCCCCCAACACAGAATGCAACCTCTTTGCCTTAGTACTGACCTTTGAAAGTTCCTATAACTGAAAAATTCATTATCTGAGACCAACCTGCACTGAGCCTCCATGCACTTAGACTGATCTTCCTATAGACTTGAGAGCCATGACTGACTCTGGACTCAGAGTTCCATCCAACCTGAGAGGATCTACTAAGGCCTCTGCCCCTGCTGGCAAAGTCTTGGAGAGCCTAAGGTCATCCCTGGGCTCTGCTGTTGCTTTCTCCAAGAAAAATTTATTCTGCTTCATGAGCTGCTGGGGTCTTTAGGAGGCATAGAAGAATGGTGGAAGGGGCATTGAGCTGAAATTCGGGAAGCCTGGAAGCTAGTTATAGCTCTGCTATAAACCAGCTGGATGTCCTTTAGTAAATCCCTTGATTTCTCTGTGCCGATAAAATGAGCATAAACATTCCTCCCCAAACGACAACCCAGTTTATGATGAATAGATGAGAGGATGCGTATGAAAGCATTTTGGGGAAAAGTATGAGGTGCTCTCCAGTTGTCAGATCGCAGTATTACCTTGCTGCCTGCATACCTGGATCTGCACCAGAAACATCTGTCCTCTTAAAACGGTCCACCACCAGTAATTCCTTAAAATGGTGAGACGCTGCCTGAGTTTCACTTGTTTTCAGCTCTCTGATCCTGAGTTGACCTTTATTATGGGTATTGCTTCTGCATCTGCCTCAGAGGCCACAGTCAGCAAAAACTCCTGCTCCCTGATAAAAGGCCTGAGCCAAGCAAAGGCATCGCAAAAGTCTCTGCCTGCAGCAGTTTGATTGGACTGCCAAGGCTAGGGAAAGTGCTTCTCCTGGGAAAGCAGTTAAAGATCTTTCCATTTATTGGTTTGCTTAACTGATGACTTCCAGTGACTCAGGAGTAAATGTTGTTATGCAAACTTCCAAGGTCACGGTCCCCAACCAACAGACCTGCAAGTGGGGCAGTATGCCATGGTGGAAAGGACCCTAGATTTGGTACCATAGGATCAGAAAACATTGGAACCAGTAAGGACCTTTGCCTTATCCGAGGCACTAGTGGCAAAAACAGCATTTGAACCGAGGTCTCCTGGCTTCAAGTCCAGGGCTTTTTCCACTCTTGAAATGGTCTTGACTTCTGGCCTAATTTTCCTTATCTGTAAAATGAAAGAATTGAACTAGAAGAGGTCTAAGATTCCTTCCAATTGATGCTTTAGTAGATTTCTAAACTGATGGCCCCTAAGGGATGGCCAGTGGAAGAGGAACTAGGAAACCTAAATTGGAGTTCAAGTTGTGAAACGAACTGCCTTCATGATCTTGGACAGGTTCCTTTCTCTTAGAAGAAATGTATTAATAGCTTGCTGTCCTATAGAACTTTATAAAGAAATTACTTTCTACTCAACAACCCTGAGGTTATGCCATGTGTGGTCCCTTATAGTTCTAACACAGTATTAGTTCATGAATCTGTGCTGTGACTCCTTCTCCACTTGGAAAGTTGAGTGCAGGTAATATAGTATCAGGCCTTCTCCTCCCACTTACTTTGGGACTTCATTGTCTGTACCTCCTAACCCATCACCAGTAATTTCTAAACTGATGAAATGAAAATCAGCCCCATCCCACCTCCATCTCCATAGACCCACAAGATGAAGGATCCTGCCCAAAAAACTATAACCTGAACTTGCTGTTCTCTCTCTGTGGTTCCATTAAACTTTTTCTTTCCACTGATTGTCTTTTTCTAATAAAATAACAGGAAGAAGGAGAATGAATGCTTTTTAAAACCAGGAACCTTTTACAAACAGATCACACAGACCATTTTTATTTTTTTTTGGAGGCATTCAGGGTCACACAGCTAGTAAGTGTCTGAGGCAAGATTTGAACTCAGGTCCTCCTGACTCCAAGGCTGGTGTTTTATCCACTGAATTATCTAGCATCATTTTAGCACCAACATAGACCATTTTAGTACATTACTGATGCACTACCACAGGGTTTAGGACCAGAAGAGAATGTCTGAGCCTCTGTGATGAAATCCTGTACCGGACTGGGAAGAGAACTTGCCCAGGGTCGCACAGATGGCAAATAACAGGATTTTTGAATTCTGACTTCAAACCCAGCGTTCTTCCAATTTAGACTGTGCTGCTTCTATGTTTGTGTTCTGAAACAAAGTAGGAAGCATTTAAAAGCCAAGGTAAAGAAGTGGATTTACCAAAAAGCTATAAAATCTATAGAATGGCTTCAATTCAACATACATATATATTAACCACTTTCTTTGCTCAGGGTTCTATACTAGGACAAAAGTGAACTCACTCTTGCCCTCAGGAGCTTACTTGCCACTAGAGTGATATACTATGTACATGGATAAAAAAAGGGACAACCACCACAACACCAACAGAGGCAATGGTGGTTGTCCCTTGTCCTTCATTCTTGAAGAGGACCAGTGACATCTGAGGTGGTATTTTGGTAACAGTTCTTATAGCAAGGTTGGGAGAAAGGGGGGTGGGGGTGGAGAACTGCATGACCTAAAGCATAGTCTGAAATAGGCTAAATGTAGTGGAGTATGTGAGTTTTAACCAGTCAGAACAGTTCAGCTCTAGGTCTGATGTTCCAAAATAGAGTAGATGAAGTTTCCCAGGACATGGCCTGGAGGTCTGGAGGGTATAGTGACAAGGAAGATGGCTGTGATAGACACCTGGAAGCATGGGCTGGTGGTCCCTGGTCTATCCCAATGGTGGGCTTCATGAGTTTGTGTTCACTGATTCCCCAATAAGGAAGAAATCTGTAATAACTGGGGGTGGGGGGAATGGGGTAAGATCACAAAAAAGCTCTTGAGCTATATTTTGAAAGAAGTTAAGTAGTCTAAGAATCAAAGGTGAGAATGGAGAATATTGCACACATGGGATACAGCCTGCATGCACAGGCAACTCTTGTAAATATGACTTTTAGGAATAGGATTGTCTTTAAAATGATCTCCTATATGAAAATGTCATTGTGCATTCCTCTCTCTTTTATTTCCCCTTTTGTTTTTAAGTTTATATTATCAATCTCCCAGTTCATCTTCTGAAGCCCCTGCTAAGAGGCTCAGTGGGGGATGGACCTTCCCTTTATATACACTGATGGAGTATCAGAAAGAAATGCTTCTATTGATGTTGCTTTGGAACCAAATTTATTTTCCTCATATAAATGACCTGTTGCGACTGGGTATTGGGGGGAATGTTTTTCAGGTGGAAAACATCCTGCTGCATGACCGAGGTCATTATGTCCTGTGTGACTTTGGAAGTGCCACCAACAGATTCCAGAACCCACAAGCTGAGGGAGTCAACGCGGTAGAGGATGAGATTAAGAAGTAAGCCTCCTCCTTCCTCGGGGCTTGGCTCTGCTCTCACAGCCATGACTTCTCTTTGAGCAGAGGGAGGCAGGGGAATGGGGTGGGAAGAGAATGGTTGAGAGTGTGTGTGAGTGTGTGTGTGTGTGTGTGTGTGTGTGTGTGTGTGTGTCCATATATATATATAATTGAATTGATTGAATCTCTAAATCCTGTAACTATGAGATTTAAAGGAAAATGCCAGGAAATACAGTCATTTTCTAAAGAATTCATTGGTTGTACTAAAGAACATTGAATTTGAAGTTGGAGAGCTAGGTTTCAATCCAGAGAGAAGAAAAAAAAAGGAATAGATCAGTTTCAATGGAAGAGGCACTTCTAAGAGTTATAGGTATTCTAAACCCTTGTTTGGAGGCCTCTTGAAGGAAAGAGGGAAATACGGAGGAGACTGACTTCTTTTTTAGGGTCAGATTAACACCTGTATTTGGAGTTAGAGGACCAGGGTTCTAATCTTGGTGCCACCATTACCTGTGTGAGCTTAGGAAAATTATTCCCCTTCACTGGTTCTCAGTTTCCTAGCCTTAAAATGAGGTATTGGACTATATAATTGCTAAAGTCCCTTCCAGTTGTGAATTTTGTGATCTAGTTTATGAATTGTTTCCCCATTAGTTTAGGGGAGAAATCCGATAAACTTTAAGTTATTTTTTAGGTTTTTAAAAATACTGTCTTTGGCTTAAAGCCTAATGGTACAAATAGAATAAAATCACTTATCAGAGTATTTAAATTAGATAATAATGAAGGAAATTAGGAAAGAAATTTTGGATAGTTTTGTTTGTTTAGTTTTGTTTTTAATGCGCACTATATGCCTAGCTCTACAATAAAATATTGTGGGAGATACAAAAGAAGTATGAAAGAAGTGCCTCCTGGCCACCTCAGAAATCATATATAAACAAATATGTACATATTACATATATATAGATAATAAATAAAATAGCAGTGTATAATCAAGTGCTAAAGTTATAGGAAGAAAAGCACGGAATTTGGACTCAGAGAAACTTGGGTTTTAACCCTGACTTTAGTGTTAGGTGACTTTGTGCAAAACACTTTATTTCACTGGGTTTAATTTACTTCATCTGTGAAATGAGGATAATGATACTTACACTGTCTGCCTCACAGAGTTTATTATGTGAAAACATTTTTTAATTTAATTTAATTTTTTATTAAATTTTTTTTAAATCCGCTGAATGGTATTTTATCTTTTCCAGTTACATGTAAAGATAATTTTCAATATTCACTTTTATAAGATTTTGAGTTCCAAATTTTTTTCTCCTGCCTCACCAAGATGGCAAGCAATCTTATATAGGCTATATGTACAATCCTATTAAACATATTTCCACATTAGTCATGTTGTGAAAGAAGAATCAGAACGAAAGGGAAAAATCATGAGAAAGGGAAAAAAAAAGAAAATAATATGCTTCAATCTGCATTCTGATTACAGAGTTCTTGCTCTGGATGTGGATAGCATTTTATGAGGAAACATTTTGCATGTACTATAAAACTCCATAGAAATAGGCGCTGTTATTATTAATTAGGTGACAGCCAGCATAACTGAACTCAGTGTTTGATAAGGTCCTATGACTATAAGAGCTCCTTGAGAAGAGATATCTGTATGGCCTAGAATTGTTAGAGGAGAGAGGAGACTTGACTTGGGCCTTGCAGGAAAGAAGGGATTGGTGGAAAAGAAGAGAGAGGTGACAGATCTTGTACTAACAAAACTCATTCTGGGTTCTTCCTCTATCTGGAGAGGTTGGTGTGAGAAGAAAGGCCCAGTTTACATTTTGCCCTAAAAAGCCCACAGCTTAGCGATTGTGAGGATAATAATAGCTCACATTGTTATAACGTTTGAAGATTTACAAAACACTTTTCTCATAGTACTCCATGTATGGTAGGTAGCACAATATTATACCTCAATTTGATTAGATAAAAAAACCGAGGCCTAGAGAGAGTGAAGTGATTCACCCAGTGTCACATAACTAGCAAGTATCAGAGTTAAGATTCAAACACCAGTTTCTCCCAATTCCAATTTTAGCTGGTGCTTATTCTACCTGAACCCACTGTGGACAAGCTGATAGAACTAGGAAATGACCACAGTTCTATACCATTACTCCCTTCTGCATAGCATATATATTCATATCCGTCTGAGGTTAGGGACTGTTGCAGTCTATATGTTGTAAAATATACAAATATTTTTGTTGTCACAGAACTGCCAAGCAAATGAAATGGGGCACGGTGGACATCTTTAATAAAACGATTCTTCTGATTTTAGGTATACGACGCTTTCCTACAGAGCTCCAGAAATGGTCAACCTGTATAGTGGCAAAATTATCACTACAAAGGCCGACATTTGGGTATGTGTCGAGTAATCTGTAGCTCTGACTTGATGGGCAACATGGTACTTGGCCTTGGAGTCAAGACAACTGGATTTAGATCTAGGCTCACTTCATCTTAGTTTCCTCATGTGTAAAATGGAGATAATATTTGCACCATTTATCTCCTGGGGTGGGGGAAGAATGAGGAAAGAGTTTTGGAAGCCTAAATGTCTCAGAGAATTGTGAGTTATTATTCTAATCTATAGCGGCTCAGTTGTTAGTGTCCTAGTTTGTATACCTGCAGACCAGTGACTAGGATAGAGTGCCTGGGGTTTTGCCCTATGGTGCTGAAATTTTGGGGGGCACTAACAGTACTTGCCCTCCTTCTGAAGTATAAAAACACCTAGTTAGCAAGAATAATTAGTTAGAATAGGAAAGTACTACGTGGTGTGCTTCTTTTCAGATTTAGCTTCGTCCCAGCTGAGCTCCTACATACCCTTTGCCCTGACCCCACTTAATGGGTACCACAATTGCTAGTTATGGCTCTGTGCATCTGCAAACAGATAGTAATATGGCATAGTAGAATGCATCCTGGATTTGGAGTCAGAGGATCTGAGTTAGCCCTGTCTTTGCTACTCAGTTCATGCAAGACCTTGGGCAAATCATTTCCTATCTGTGTAGCTCAACTTTTTTACCTCTAAAATCAGGGAGCTTAGACTACATGATCTTTAGGGTCCCATCTAGCTCCAACAGCACTAACCAGCCCCTTAGACTATTTGTAGGGGGGTTATAGAAAGAAGCCCATGCTTAGTAGTTACAGAGTGAAAACAATCCTTTTTTCCTCTGTCTTTTAGGCCCTTGGTTGTTTGTTGTATAAATTATGCTACTTCACATTACCATTTGGGGAGAGTCAGGTAGCCATTTGCGACGGAAACTTCACGATTCCTGATAACTCACGGTATTCCCAAGACATGCATTGCCTCATACGTAAGTATTTCCATTTCCCAGATTCCTCTTGGTTCGTAATCTTTTCTCTCCAGGACTGAATTATACCAGCAGGAGAGGAGACATTGCCCAAGGCAGGGAGAAAGAGAGCAAAAGAGAAGGCAGCAATGGGGAGATGGATTGATAGGAACAGAGATGACAAAATACCTTTGAAGCAAGAACCTCCAATTGCTCAAACAAATCGCCTTTGGGTTAATTTCCAAAGTATACTTCATACCTACATGAATCACTTGAGCAGAAGTGTTGAATGTACAAGATTGGCATACCATTAGTTAACGTCTTTGAAGAAATCCTGGAGCAATAAAATTCTGACTAGTTGTGTATCAAGGGGCAAGGCATTGGTCCTTTGCAAAATTAGGAGCTGCTCCAGTGAAAAGGTTAGCATTGCAGTATTCTACTTGAATATTTGTCTCCAGCAGTAGCATCTCACTCTGCAGAATTCATTTTAATACAACAAACATTTCTTAGGTGCCTACTATGTGCAAAACACTGTGCTAGGTGATGAAAGCATTTTTCCTATGTCCTGAAGATGGAGGCCCAGAACCAAGTCTTACTGTCTTTTGAGTTAATCGTTATTATTTGTTCTGGGATCATTGTAACTATAAAAATCCGTCAACTGGTGGCCAGGCCTCTGGTGATGAACCGTTTCACACCTAGCTGTCCCTCAGATGACAGAAATATAGAGTCTTCCATATGCAAAGCCTTTCTAGTTTGGAATACTTGTGAAATCTTGTCCTTTACTAGTGTGGCATTTAAGAATCCATTTTCATGGTAGGATATTAGAGGAGGACACTGTTTAACATTGCCTTTTGGCTTTTCAACCTTTCCAGTTACCCTATTACATCATACATGCATTAAGAACAAGATGGTGGGGTGACTATAAGCTCTTCTGATAAAAAATAGATGGAAACAGAGGTAACTTGGCTCCTCCAGTCTGTTGGCAACGTTCTTTTGGAATAGAATTGTTAACCAATCCCAGGCCATGTAGCTTGTCTCCCCTCTATCCTGTCTTGCTGATTCCAAGGCTGTGGCAGCAGTAACGGCCTTTCCTCTTGGTTGGATGGATTTCCTGTTGACAGAAGGCCACAGATTTGGCCATGGCTACCTTTGTTACCGATTGATCTACTTTCTCTTTTACCCTTGATTGCAAGTGAACAGAAATAAACAGGGAGATATTGTGAAATGCATATGGCGCAGGTAGACCGATGAGAATCATAATCTCATTTGCCTCATCGTAGCTTCAGAGTTATGATCTCAAGATTAGCTTTTATGGTAGGGGACTATATTAGTCATCAAGGTGTTTATTTGAATGTTTCATTCTGACAGCCTGAGCTCATGTCGATCAAATGATGATGTTAGTGCATCCTTGAATGAAAGGTCTCTGAGTCATTTTGCACACTTAAAGAATGTACCCTATTCATCAAGTCCATTCTTAAATTGTTGAACTTGAGTGCTACTATGCTCTGTGCATTTAGATAGAAGTACCTAATAGCTTAAAGTTCAGACCTGTAATTCTAGGTGACTCTTGTTTCTGAACTTTTAATAGACTAGTAGAACCAAATTCTTAAATGTAGTATAATCAGATGTCTTTTTTTTCTTTATATTGTATTATGAACTTCAGAACTGAATTATTCTCACCTGGTGAACAGCCCCATAAAGAAGGGCAAACCAGCATTTAGAGCGAGACGCTGGGATTTGGGAGCCATAGAGTCATAAAATTGCACAGTTGTTAAGTGACAGGTCAAGTTATCTCGTCAGGTGGTGTTTTAACTCCAATAGAAACAGAGGCCACATAAGGATCCCTAAGGGCTGCATACTCTTTCTTTTTTAGTAATACATTAACACATTAAAACCAGACAGGAATTAGATTTTAATCTAGTTCAGGCCATGCTTGACAGTGTTGTGGGCTGTGTGTGGCCCGTGTGTTTCTAGTCCAAACTCTCCCCACAGCAAGGATGCTACCTGTAAAATCCCTGAAAATGGTCATTTAAGCTTCCACTTAAAAACCTCCAGTCGTGAGGAATGCATTAGCAACCCTAGGCTGCCCGTGCCATTTTTTGAGAACTTTAACTCTTAGCAAGTTTTTCCTTATGTTGAACTGAAATCTGTCCCCCTAAAACTTCCACCTCTTCACCTTAGTTCTTCCCTTTGAGGACAAACAAAAACAAGTCTAAATCCCTCCCCAAGTGTGGAAGACAGCTATCGTGTCCCTCCTTTAATTGTTTCTTCTCCAGGCTAAATATCCTTAGTTCCTTTGGCACGGCATGGTTTCAAGTCCCCTCACCATCTGGTTACCCTCCTGCCTATACTTGGATTGGAAAAATCAACTTCAGAAATACTGGATGGAGGAGGCATGGCTAGAGATAACAGTTTCTGTGTGAAAAATGTGGGGGTTTTAGTGGACTGTGAGCTTAATATAAATCATTGGCGTGACACAGAGGCAAAAAAGCTAATGCTGTCATAGGCTACGTTAAAAAATATAATGTCCAGAAGGAAAGAGGTAATAGGTTCTCTTTACTCTGCCTCGTTGGGCCATATATGGATTACTATGTTCAATTCTTGGCACTGTATTTTAGGATAGATATAGACAAACTGCACCGTTTCCAAAAGAGGATAGCCAAAATGGGGAGATTGCTGAACAACAGGACGAAGGATTATTGGCTGAAGGAACTGGGCGTAGAGAAGAGAAGACTTAGTTGTCATTTAACAAAGGGCTGTCTGATGGAAGAGAGGGATTTGATTTGCTCTGTTTGTCCCCAAAAGGAAGAGCTAAGAGCTGTGGGTAGGAGTTGGCCAGAGAGACATTTTAGATTTGAGGTGAAGGACAACTTACTTTTAGTACTAGCTGTCCAAAAATGGTCTGGGCTGCCTCAGGAAATAATAAATTCACCTAATTCTGAAGTTTTCCATCAGGTCCTAGATGACCATTTTGGGGGCGAAGATGTTTTAGAAAGAATTCTTGTTCAGATGGGAGTTAAATTAGTTGGCTGATGAGGTCCCCTCAAACTCTTCAATTTCATCAATCTCTTGATATGCTCATCACTCTCCTATCTACGATGTAGTTCCAAGAACTAGACAGAATGCTACAAAAGTGGCTTAACAAGGGCAGAGTATGACAGTATGGTCACTTTGCTTACTCTAGCAATTTTAATTATTGCAGTGAGCTTATGGACCATTAAAATCTCCAATTTTTTTTTTCTCACAACCACTGCTTTCCGGCTATATCTTCCTCGTTCTGTGTTTGTGCAGTTGTTTTTTGGACCCAGGTATAGGATTTTTTACATTTAATTTTATTAACTTCATCTTACCCACTCACTGTTGCGTAAGTCTGGTATGTATTTTCAGTGATCCCATTTTGTGACACACTGTATTACCCAGCAGTCACAACTTTGTATCACTCACAGATTTGATAAGTAAGCCATATATATGTGCACATATGTGTATGTACACACACTACCTTTATGTTATTGGTAAACAAAATGAACCCAATAGCTAGAATTTGCTTATGTCTTTGACAGTTAAAGGGTTTCTTAGGGTTACATCCTACTTTTGAACATCTACCTGCTTTAAAATCACACCAAACCTTGGTATTTAGGATGTTAACCCAGGTAAACTAATAATACAAAAGCATATTACAATGTTAAAATATCTAGAAAGCCATTTGAGAAACTGTCAGTGGATATTTCAATAGAGTTTTAAATTGAATTTGAGCACAGGCCTTTTTTATTAAAAAATAAAATCAAGTTTTTCAGGGAAAAAAAATGAGCCCAAACCAGAGAAGGTTCTGTACTAGACTGTCAATTGCCATTCTTTGGGTTTAGTCTTTGGTCTTTAAACCAGTTCTTAGTCTACCTGACTGGACTGTCATCAATCCATCTTTCCATTTTTGTCCACCTTTGATAATTGGCTTTGTTTCTCATTCTTTTCATGCTTATCCAAATGTTCTTCAACATACATATCGTCCCCCTTGCCTTGATTGGGTGGATTTCCAAACCGATGAACATCCTTTCCATGTATAATGCTATCCTGTCTTCTTCTATCTCATATGGTCCCTTTGAATTTGATGCACCCATCCCTTGCCGTGTGTGAGTCATCAACTGCATCCCATTAGGTTTCAGTAGTGCCCTGAGACGTATTTACATCCTCAAGTTAACGCCTCTAGCTCATGTTTAAAAGTTATTTTTTCTCAAATTAAAGACATAAGTCTTTAAACTCTGGTTTTTTATCCAAGATCCAACCCAAGATCTCTGACTGTCAGCAGGTCCTGTGAATGTTGTTCTATCACCCTGGACTCTAATTTCAGAATTCAAAAGATCTATGATTTTGTTGGTTTGGGTATTTGTTATCTTATCCCCTTTGTGCCTTAAGTATATGTTCTTTTAGATATACTTGGATCAGAATATTTTATTATCCCATGGTCTAAGCTACTTTTCTAAGCAAGTTGCTTTTTACATATTAGATGCTTAATGACATTTGATGATTTGAATTAGACTAGTCCTTGGATCCAGCTTGTCGCTGGATACTGATTAGCCTTCTACCCTTGGAGTAGGACATGACAGAGCTTGCATTGCCCAGGCATGGCCCAGAGAATCCAGAGTCCTCTCAAAGCATTGGAGAAAGCCTTTCATGAAGGATCTCAAACTCAGCATGTCCTAAAGCTTATCATCTTATCGCCTACGATAAAGGTCCCCCATTAATGTCCCTGTTTCTGTCAGTGGCACCACATTAAACTCCTAGAGTTGGTAAATCATCTGGCATTTGAGAAGCCAAGAACGTGGGTCAGATAGCCTAGTACCATCTACCAAAAGGTCCTCACTTTCATAGATCACTAACCTTCTAAAGCTTGTCTCAAACTTGCTGATTTCTTACTGTTTGTTGTTCTTGTACAATGATTCTCAAACTGATGTTGGGGGACCCCTAGACCATTTCAGTCTGCAAAGTCAAAATTATTTCTGTAATAATAGTAAGATGCTTTAATTCTT